GAGAGTCATCAAAGTATTTAAGTTCTTAAACTAATGAAAATTATAACACACTATAACACTATATATACTACTATAAACTATACTAGTATTTGTGTGAAATACATAATTATAAAAAATTATGAAGATTCTTTTGCTTAACCCCTGTACATATCTAGTTTTTTGTTATTATTCTAGATATAAATGAATTTTCAATAAAAGGATAAATTAAATACTCAAGTAATAATCTTTTTAAAGTAGTTCTTTTAATCAAGATGATTCAGTACAGGAACACTTCTTTACAACAAACATCATTTACTAAAGCTATACAACTGAATTGATAATTAATTAATTTCAATGGTTGAGAACATGAGTCAGTTGAAGCTAAACCATCATGGAAAACTTGGAAGCACTGACCGGCCGTTTCAAACTATTGTAGGATTCAGCAGTTTGCATCTACTATCACGCCCCACCCTCCGCGAGATTAGGACTCAGGACCAATCAGTCTCGTGTGCGAGAGATTAACCACTAAACCACTGAACTGGCCAGTATCCAACAATGTTAATGTACAACTTCAACTAATCCACGAAATTGAGCGACACATCCACCACTGTCTTCAGTGAGTCGATATCTCACAACAGACCTTGTTGAACTCTACTGGTCACTGCTTCCCACTAGAACTCCAGGAAGTACCTCTTGAAGTCAGTCACTAGTGAGCATATGTTGATTAATATCGGAAGGTGTATTGTGGATATTATAATAATTTCAATAGTTAAGTTCATGAGTTAATTGGAGCTAGACCACCATGGAAAACAAACATAAAACTATAGTTGAATAAATAATTACTGTATCACTTAAAATATGGACGAAAAATTATTACCATATATCAAAACAAAACGAAACAAAAAGCTAATTACATTATTAAAAACAAAGGTAATTTCCTACAATAAAATGGCAACAAATTATAGATAGAATGTAATCATTCAATTGAAATGTATTAAGAAGTATCCACTCATTCAATATCAATTGACAATCTTAACTATACTAACTTCATTGTAAACAATTTCTTATAAATATCTAGGGTTTAGTTAAAATTTAAAATAATAATTCATGCTGAAACATGTCTAATTTTCATTTCAGTTAGTTATATGAGTGAATATAGATGATAAAAGATGAAAACTAACCAATTAGTAAATATCAGAATGGATTTTTGTGGATATTATAGTAATTCCAATAGTTGAGATCATGAGTTAATTGAAGCTAGACCACCATGGAAAAACTGTAAGCACTGGAAGGCCGTTCTATCTTATCATAGAACTCCTCATCAGTGCACATCCATGATCCCGCCCAGCGAGATTCGATCTCACGACTTATCGGTCTTGGACCTGCCGGTTCAGTGGTCTATAGGTTAGGCGTTCATGTGCTAGACCGATAGGTCCTAGGTTCGAAAGATGAGAGGCAGGATCATGGACGTGCTCTGCTATGGAGTCTAACAATAGGATGAAACGACCGTCCAGTGCTTCCAGGTTCTTCATGATGGTCTAGCTTCAATTGACTCATGATCTCAACTATTGTAATTAGTAAATCTTTTTTAATGAGTTTCTTTGTTAAAACCTTAGTCCGTAAATCAAATAAATATATTCATACATTTCTTATCATTTCATTTACTCCTACTAACTAAAGGAAAGTCGAAATTTATATAATCCAATGTATTCATAGTATAACTAGTGGTAGTTTATGAAGTCTACAGCATTTGTCTATATATCTTTTTGAAGTAACAATATAGTTAGAAAATAGTTTTCTTCAGAGATAAGTCTCAGGTTGAATATCACAAACCGTAACTAAGTACTGAAGATCAGTTTCTTGGTTTGGTATTTCTCATCAGTACAAATTAACGAGATGACTTTGACCAGAGTAAAAAATCATGTTTCATGGCAAATACACTACTATTCCGTTGTCGAGTACACAACTTAATGATTTATATTAACTTCGCTTTTGTATAAATTGAAATGTTGACTAGACTTATTTAAATAAAAGACTATTCATTATCAGGTTAGAGAAACAATTCTCAATATCAACTGCACTATGTATTACAGTCCATCTGGATTACACTATGTTATTGCACATTGACCACTGAGATACTAACATAGTGCCGCACCAAACGTTCCTTCTCATAAACGCCATCTATATTTTTTCCGTTAACTTGAGAATATACCCAGCCTAAGAAGATAATTATGTAATAGAATAAAAGCTAACATAGGGAAAAAACAACTAAACTATGATATACGCTTCACTGGACGAATGTATGAATTTCAAGAAGCATTTCAAAAATAAAAACATACTAAATATGCTATATATCTGCATCGTTATTAAAGATTACGTAACCTATTCATCACCATAACCCTGCTGAACTATAACTGTAGTATAGAGGATAAGCTTATAAAACGAAGAATCTGATATTGAATGACCCTTTTTTTATCAAAAATTTTCTTTTTCTAGTAAAGATTGGTGATTCGATAATGTCGTTGAAGTGTATTGAATTAGTGATTGAATGTTTTCAGGAAATCGTCAAGTTATTAAACAAACAAACTGCACGTATTTTTGTCAAGTAAAAAATTATTATCAGAATGGGTTTGTGGAGATCTTAGAAATTTCACATATTGAAATCATTAGTCAATTGAAGCTAGACCACCATGGAAAACCTGGAAGCACTGGATGTCCTAGTATGGGACTTCTCAGCAGTGCACATCCACGATCTCGCACCCCACGAGATTCGAACCCAGGACCTATCAGTGAGATATCAGATCACTGAAGACAGTGGTATACGGCAGCGCAACTTCGAGAATTGGTTGAATTTAGACATCAGCACCACTGGATGCCGGCTCAGTGGTCTAGTTGGTTAAGCGCCTGGCGCAACTGACAGATCCTAGGTTCGAATCTCGCGAGGTGCGGGGTCGTGGATACGCACTGCGGAGGGGTCCCATACTGGGATGAAACGGCCATCCAGTGCTTCCACGTTTTCCATGATGGTCCAGCTACAATTGACTCATGATTTCGATCTGTGAAATTTCTAAAAAATTATTGCCAATTTATAACAATGAAATTCGGTCATTTTCATTTATTTTTTTGTAAAATCAATTGTCTCAAAATATCAAATATGCACATTAATTAGTATACGTAGAATCAATTTTTTTTCATAAGCTCTTTATATAACCCTAAACTTGTACATACATATAAACATACTATCTGAATGCCAGACATACAATAACCAACACTGGTAATTCAAAAGTAAATATAATTAACTAAAATGATAGGTCATATAACATGTTTGTCAAACATTTTTACAACTAACCACTGGCATTAACTGTTGTGTCACCAACTAGATGTGATAAATGTTATTTCTTATAAGTAATAAACATAGATTTTTAGTAGTAAATAAGTTTTTCATCCTCAATAAGATATAAGCTAGGACTATATATATATATTTCACCGCCATTCTTGACTTACTATAACCTCATAATGGCATGAATCTTATTAATTTTTAAATGATTTATTAACTTAACCTGACTTAGATAAAAAATTGTATGATGAATGTGGTCGATTGAAGTTGATAATTTGATTTTCATATTAATTTCTTATTTTTTTGTGATGATTGAAATAAAACTTACACATAGTTCTTCAAAACCATTGAAACTACCATTTATCATTAGTTAAAACTCAGTTTTAAGTGTTGAGTTTATTGATTGCTTCAAAATAAGGATAAAATTCCTTTGACGATTCTTTAAGAATTGATATTAGCTTATTTAAAGATTGTTTTGACTTAGAAAGTATACGAGACGTTAGAATTTTAGTAAAACCAAGAACTCTCTTGACAAATAAATATAATTTGCTGATTAGTTATAAGTGAATAGAATAGCCGAACTCATGAAAATCATGATCTGGTGCTTTATGAATATCTATTGAATTTAGAGTTGCTTACAAAACACATCGTCACTAGGTAACGTGATTTTTTAGTGTTCCATACCAGTTCTTTGATGTTTTTGAAGTAATTTATTAAGAAAAAACGTCATTTAACTGAAGTTGCTCTGAAAAACGATGCGAATGGAAATATCAAGTATGAAGATAGAAGTTTTTGATCATTTATTGTTGTATTAGTAAAACAAACATGAATCATTATGTCAACTTTGATATATATATATATATATATATATATATATATATATATCAAACATTTTAGAAACTGTTTCACGTGAGGCTCTATGGTCGTTAAATACTTCCGGTTTTATATGAAACATTACTAGTCTAATGACATCATGTGTATAATCCGAATATTACATGATACTATTATTAATGTTACTTAGGGAATGTTTCCTTAGTTAATAAAATATAACAAACCATAGATACAAAAAATGTATTGATTAACTGTATTTAAATTTAACCAATTTTTTTTCAATAGTTGAAATCATGAGTCATTTGAAGTTAGACCATCATGGAAAACATGGAAGAACTGAGTGACCGTTTCATTCTATTATGGGACTCCTCAGTAGCGCGCAACCATGATCCAGCCTCGTGAAATTCGAACCCAGGACCTATCATCCTCGCGCGCGAACACTTAATTATTTGACCATTGAGCCAACATCCAACGATGTTAATGTTTAACTTCAGTTCACGAAATTTAGTGTGTTTAACTTGAAATTCTTCATCTTACTTATCTCTGAACTCTATTGTAAATTCTATTTGGATAGAAAAAAAATATTTTACAAAATTTTATAATTTTATTTCATCATAAATTCTATTCATTTTTCAATATTTTGAAATTCATTATTCATTTCATATAAGATGTTTAGTGAAATATATTCGATTTTAATGAATTATGATTGGTTGAATCCATTGAAAATATTTAACTGTACTACATTACTATAAACCAATAATATTTTAGAATTCATGACATTTTATGAAATTCCTGTTTAATGATTGGTTATATTTATCTTTTGATTATAATGCATCAATTTATTTGACTTTACAAAATAAGAACACTTATTACATATATATATATTATAATACGCTTATAGTTATCAGCGTATTAGTTGCTTTGTAGTATTTACTATTTAGTGGCTTAGTTATTCCATGCTTTTAATTGTTGTGTAAATAGATTTAACTAATTTCATCATTATTCATAACAATTGTTATAACTAACACGTGCTGGGATTTGTAAATTCTTTAAATTAAATTCATTTTGGGAACTTAATATTATCAAAGTTTAAAAACAATTTATTTTTATCCGAAATGACTCTTAATCGTCCAAAACCAAGTGCTAGTCCATCAGATGATTCAGCTGTTGGTGATATGAATAGTAATGGAACAAGTACAACAAGTAGTAGTAACGGTGAAGCATTATGTCCGGAAACTACTTCAACGACAACAACAGAAAGTTTAACTGAATCATATACAAAACTAGCATTAACTAAACGACAAACATCTCTTGTCATAGAATCTACTGCCGATTCAAATGATCCAGGGTAAGTTTATAGATTGTTAGTACTATTGTATAGAATTTACCAAAAGTTTTTTTTTTTCATTGAACTCGAAAAAAGATTGCCGAATTCATGTTTAACGTGTATTTTAATTTAGGGATTGAAAGGTGATTTCTTTTATTCTGAATTGTTAGTATAATGCATGAATCAGGTATTCAGAGAAACCTGAGTCATATTCAGACTTATTAACTATTGTAATATTTATTGATTATATCCAATATGCAACTGATACTCAACTACATTATGTTTACATCATCCAGGTATAGTACGAATTTATCAAGGTTTAAGTTATATTTTTCATTCCAAATCTATTATATGACAAGGAATTATGAGTATAGGATGAAAACTTTAATGACCATTGGAACACACCTCCATTACATTTCATTATTTTTAATTGTGTATACTGAATTGTGTATACGCAATCCCTAGACAAAAGTATATCATTAAATCACTTGAATGGTAGATTTTCTTTGTAATTATGATAATTCTTCATCCAATAAACATGATATGTTGCCAAAGTATCAGAATATGTTTATTTAAATTAGATTTCTTGTAACTCTCATAACACTTGAATCAATGAACAATATATAATGGTAGGAAATATAGGCTTTATAATTGATAAGAGACTTCAATGATATTGGTTAAAATTGATCTCAACAACATGGTCTCATCTATTTTACATCTCACTTTACCTTGAAATTAATGCTCTCATAATTTTCATTATTCAATTCTGCTTATTTTTTTTTTATTTTATAGTTTTTGTGCTTGGATTTTGAGTTCTGTTAAAAATATAGTTTCATACTTTGTTAAATCCTACTGTACTTAAGAATGGCAGTGAAAATTCCACAATAGTTTACGGTTGTTTAATAATTTTATGGTTAGAAAAATTATATAAGAATGAATTAGAATGTTGATGTCATGTATAGACAGAATCGATAGCTTATTTATCGAAATATCACTGTTACAATGGGACAGTTCATGGTTTGGATGAAATTCTACAAGTTTGGTCAATGAGAAAGTGAATACTGTGATGCCCTTTATATTAATGACTCATATAATCATGTTGGTTAGTTGAATTCGTTTGGGATTTAGTTTTGACTGTTCACTTTTATTAGTAATAGAAATTTGGCAATTAACGAAATTACATTCGACAAGTAATATATCCAATACAATCTTGTCGTATAATTTCGTTGGTGATTTTCCACAACCAGCAAATGTTTGAATAATGGAATATTTATCATTGTGTGACGCTGAAAACATTGTTTTCGATTGCATTAATACGGTTTTCTTGAAAGTTTACAGGGTTATTTTAGGACAGTAATATGACTCATTGTAAAGTCTAGCACACTTTTTCGAAAAAAAAATTAATTATACAATCTTATAAATGTGACATATGACATTATTCTACAATGTTGAATTTAGACCAATAAGAAGTTAAATATCTTGAATCGCTAAACTTGAAAGCTGTCATGGTTATTTAACGTTGGGATTGTAATGTGGACACTCAAAACAGTTGATAATCCCAATGTCAAAACGAATTATCCTGTACATATGCTTAACTATTTATGCTTATTCTCATTAATTATGTCTGATGACCGGAAATGAGAAATTTGAAAACTTGTAAGCCGTCAGATTGAGTCCGTGAAAACCGCAACTGTAGTCTATCGACGATTAACAAATTAAATGAGTCTATTGTTCGGATAATGTTTTCCTGTTTAAATCACTCTTTTAAATGATCTGGATGATATTCTGCCGATTATACGCCTTAGTAATACAATAGTTTATTTTTTGGAGTATTTGGAATCATATTTATGTTGAAATGACAGGTGGATGATAAGATTTATTTGGTTGTACATAGACTGAATGGCCACTGTAGACATGACGAATGATTTCGATAATATTTATTGATCTATAATTTTAAACCTTGAATAGAGATTATCATTTTGTTCGGTAGATAAACTTTGTAGCTTCAAATCTCAGATAATAGTGAGTAGTTAAAGTCACATTAGAATTCAGAAGCAAAAAATAACTACTTTGCATTGATCCAGTAAATGGACATGAAAAGATTTGATGCTGATTGGAATAACGTTGAATAAAGTCGATCTAATAATTGAGGTAGAATAATATCAAAACACTAACACCAATAAATTCCCTTCAGGTTCTACAATTATATCGCCAAATTAATAGTCTAAACAGTGGCCAGGTTTAAGACAAAGTATAACGTTTATGGTAATGACATGTAAATTTAGGATTGTAAAATAAATGGAAATTGAATGTTGAAATGACTAATATGCGGTGTTAAACTTGAATCAACTTACGCGTTAGATGAAGTTGTGGGATTCATGTTCAGAATAAATATGGATCAGATAGATTGAGAAAAATAATAATACAATTACAAATCCGACCAAATCTTTAGTGGAAGACTATATTGTGTAATAAATTAAATGAAAGTAGTGAAAAATAATAAATCGGAGTGAGTGCTAAGTAGATTACCGGTAAGGAGATTTGTGGAGTTTATAGTATTTTCACAGTTAAAATCATGAGTCGATTTAAACTAGACCAATACCGAAAGCCTGGAAGCACTGGATGGCCGTTTTGTACTAATATGGGACTCCTCAACAGTGCACATCCATGATCCCTCACGCGGAGCTTGAAGCCAGGGTCTTCGGTTTCGCCTGCAAACGCCCAACATCTAGACCACTGGAACCGGCATCCAACGGTGTTAATGTCTAACTTTAATCATTCCATGATCTTTGGCAACTCTTCATCCATTGTCTGAGGTGGATATCTCTCTCATATCCGACAGTGGCTGACTAATCACGGCTTTTCACAAGAACTCCGGCAGTTACATCTTGAGGCTTGGTTAACCATGTATTCGTTAGGTTATTAGTGATGTTAGAGCGATGATAATGATAATAATAAAAATATATGTGAAAAAAAGATGACAAAGATGTTTATATTTGACTAAAAAAGGCTGTAAGTACTTTGGTCAAATTTGGTCATTCAGCAGTTAATAACACTATTGATTAATTGGCCCTGAAGTTGGCCGAAGTCAGAGAAGCTGTTAAAGATTTTTTTCAATCCGAATGGCTACAGGTCCTTCCATTTGAAACACTTTGGTAAAAAAAATTGTGACTCGATAAATGATTGATAATGGTTGGCTTATACTAGTACTATGACCAGTTCTCACTAAATGGAACAATATAGATTTGTTTAATTTCTTCAATAGACCTTTGCTTAGCCACTCTGGGAGGTGTTTGTGAGCACGAACATGAGAATTCCTAGAACTCCAACCAATATATCTTGCTACCCAAGAGCAGTCGAATTAATAAATACAAGGTGGTCATTCTAAGTAAATCATCTTTTAGCCTCTGCGTCACCATTGGGCGCGTAGAGAACCCTAGTCGTAGTTTCTGGCGTTGAATATTTTCTGGATTGTTATACGTAATCTGTGAATTAATATTTAATTGGCTCTATCCCCTCTGAATTGCAGGGGCATGAACCAAGATTTTTGATTCACTGTTTGTATTTTGCCTATCCTAATCTTCGTGACCATGTATTTATTTATAAACTTTCTAACTTATCCATTCGTGCTCTTCTCGGATTATATACGTAGAAAATGTAGTAAGTATTCGATAACTATGAATTTTGATCACTGTTTTTTGTACTGTAGAGGTATAGAGCTAAGGAAACATGTACACTACCTTAAATATAATATGAGTTCATTTTTCTCATAGATTCCTTTCAACTGCTGAAATTCTTGTTGAAATATAATATAAAATGAAAGAATAGACCTTTAACTGCATTTACCGATTTGTATATACGTGCCAAACACATACATTGAGAGAACAAAATGAAGAGTATATGTTTATATTTTCAAATTCCGAAACAATTTGAAATCTCAGACAAAAATTGATAACCATCATATAACTGACATTCATCAGTCTTTAAAAACTACTAACAAACATAGAAATACTACGTATTTACGCTTCATTAAAGGAGTAGCAATTAAAAAATTCAAATTGAATTAAAATGTTTAAAAAGAAACATTTATCAATTTATCACTAACTAAAACAAGAAAAAAACTAATGTAGTAGAATAATATGGATTGACTAACTGGATACCGATCACATAAGAAGTAAAAATTAATAGTTATTATCATAGAACGAAACATTTATGTGATCAATTAGTCAATTGTTTAAAAGTTACATAACTATTACAATAATATTTCATCTTCAGATTATTCTGCTCCTATTTTCTTAGTTCCGTATTCTAGAATATTCTTATATTCAACCTAGAAATATTCACACTGTTTAACATATAAATATCTTTTACAGTTATTCCATATTTATTAACCTCTTTATTGATATTCATTGATGAGAATTTTTCTGATATCATGATAGAAAGTATATATGCTGGTTTAACAATGATGAGCACTGTCATGTTTGGATTGTAAGCATCTGACGAGAAACCGCGAATTATAATAAATTTGTGTTATTCTGTTATGTTATTCGTTCTTGCTTCAGTCCAATTCTTCACTCGTTTGATGGATTCCCAAATCATAATAAAATTTCTATTTATGATTATTACTATTATTAATTATAGTTATTGTTCTTATACACTCTGTTAATTCTTTCCTTTACCTGCTTCAAAACTGTCGATTCTTTCGTTTGTATTTTTCGTTTGAGTAGTTCTCTAACATCGTGTAAACTCGTTAAACCTATAATCATTACTGAATCTATTTTATCAGCTCTTGGATTCCATATAATTAGTGGTTAAACCCAACTATATTTTTTATTTCCATTTTCCGATGAATTTATACACGCTCATAGACAAATATAATAACGACAGTCGTTATTAATTAAAATTTTTCTCGTCACCAACATCTGTCATTTTATATTAGATTACATTTCCAAACGAACATGGGTGCAGGTAGCTGAAAGTAATCACGAAATAAGACAAATTCATACTATTCTTCCTCGATT